AAGCCCCAAAAACCCTGAAACCCTAAAACCCTAAAGCCCTAAAGCCCTAAACCCTCAGCCCCAAAAACCCTGAAACAATAAACACGAAAACCCTAAACCCTTTAAGCCCTAAACCCTAAACCCAAAGCCCTAAACCCAGGTTGGAGGATATTTATTAGCCCTAAAAGGTTTGGTAAGTTAAGGCTTAGTTTTCAGTGTCTCTGCATGTGTCATTGTCTCGGCTCACAGTGTGAAGTGACGCTTCCTCTCGGAGTTTCGACTCGTATTTCTGGTGCAGCTCTCGTAGCCTCTTGTCCTTGTTCTTGATATTCATCTTAACATTGAGCTCTTGCCCGGGCGTGCTTTTGCAATCCGAAGGCTTCAAGCATCAGGTGTCTTGGGATATGGGCATCATGTTTCTTTGCTTTTGGGCCTTGGTGGAGCTTTAGAGTTAAACCCTAAACCCTAAACCCTAAACCCTAAATGGGAGCTTACACCTTAATTAAGGAATATACCCTTAAATCATAGAGACCTTAAGCTCTGGGAGGACTGAGGTTCCGGTCCTCACGAGGAGGACTCAGACTCGGAGTTGCTCGCAGCTCAGGGGCTCAGGGCGTTATGGGCGCAGGGCTTAGGGTTTAGAGGCATTAGGGATAATGTAGGGGCCTAAATCATTACCTATACTGTTTTGGGGGCTCCTAGTTTAATTATAGTATAATAATGGGCCTCCAAAACCCTATTCTAATTAATTCGGTCCCTATATTACCAGAGCTCGCAGTAGGCCTTTTAGTGAGCCGCGAATCGCGCGGCTAAAGTTCTACACCAAAACCAAAGATGCTAAAAACACCCACTTTCCAGCCTGCCTTCATCTCAAAACCATGGCAAACCGCCAAGTAGATATTGAATCTATGAAGATCCCTTGTAGAGCCCCTATCTGTAGCCCCTAATTTCAAGCCTACCCCAAAACCCTATTCTGATCAGTGAGACCCCCACATTATGCAGAACCCTTACTTAGGGGCTGAGTACCCTAGCCCAAAAACGGTTGCCCATTTCAATTATGGTAGGATTATACAAACCCCAAAAGCTTAAAGGTTACCTACTCAGCCACTTTAAGCTTATAAAGGACCCTCCCTGGCCTCGCCGAAGAGCTCACCAGACAGCTGGTCCGCTTCGTCCAAGACGAGCACCTGCCTTCGTTGAAGCCCATCCGAAACCCAGCAAGGCTTCGAGTGCAGGTTTTAAAGATCACATTATACGATGCATTACTTCACATTTATTATGTTCTTATTCTTAAGTACTGAAGCGTTCTTCCTTAGGTTTCTTTGTTGAGGTCCCAATTGTCAAACGAGCTCTCCAGAACACTCCCTGTGCACGTAGAAGCGCTCGTGCTCGACAAGTGCCCGCACATGCAGCATCTTGAGATCAACGTAAAGGGGCCCAGGCACGATTTTGTGTGTGGGGTTTCCGGTCGCCGGCTTTCATTGTTGAGGTATCTGGTAGGGTTCAGGGCAATAGGTCTCAGGGAGGGCTTAGGCTAAGGCTTAGCGTTCAAGGTTGACAACTTACGGGTCAAGGTCTTGAACTGAACATAGGGTTATATGATTTCGATATAAAAAGTATCTAAAGTTCCCAAAAACCGCACCACAGACCCAAAGCCATATTCATAACTCGTAAGACGATACGGGTACTAAATGGATCTGAACAATCCAGACAGGGTGCTTTGGGATGTACTGCCCCCATGTAACAAGGTCTGCGGGCTGCCAATTGCAGGGCGCAGGTTGTACGATTCAAAAACTAGGGACCTTAAAAACCATGTAGGCCTTATGAAAACCTACGCAACCCTCATGAATCATGGAGGCTGTATGTAGGCCATCCTACACAACCGTCACAAATCGTGTGAGCTCTATGAAACCCTAAACTCTAAATCCTGCACCCGGAACCAACCGTAATCGGCGGAAAGATACGGACAGGTTGCACTCTGGAGAGTCGCTGTCGAAAACCGTCAGTTTTCTCCAAGTGGGTCTGCAAGCGACCTCTCGCGGAAGGGTTTAGGGTTTAAAGGGTAAGGGTTTCGTAGGAAAGGGGAAATAAGGAGCTTCTCTGAAGTAACAGGATCGTTATTGTAAGGACTCAGCCATGCTTTCAAAGGAATATGTTTGGGTGCAAATATCTATTTATGTAGTTAGTTATTGGTTGTTGTCTTATCGCTTGTCCGTATGTTAATGTATGTACATATATAAGTTTACATAAGCATGCACACATACACGATACTATGTAAACACTGTATGTATGTATGTATGTATGTATGTATGTACGTACGTATGTATGTATATATACATATACATGTAAGTCTGCATGTATGTATGTATGCATGCATGCATATGTACGTATGTGTGCGTATGTGTATATGTGAGTGTATGTGTCAGTGTATGTGTATGTGCATGTGCATTTTATGTTTGCTAAGGTTGATATATATATATATATGTACACACACACATTGTAAACGACTTTGAGGCTTGGGCTTTAGGTTGGATTGGTTGGCATGGCGTATGCTACGGGTGGAAACGTGATGATGAGACCAGGTCCAAAGAGCCACTAGGGACTTTGAGAACGGCATGCCGAAATGCTGTAGAGGGAGATTCCTGAAAGCGCGGTACCGATGCACTCCCCTTATATCTCTCCTCTGAACTATATACTTTGATAAAAAGCACTCCAGACTCCTAGTCAACCGCGTAGAAGCCTGTACAGGAACCTGTTTTTTAAAAACAAGCATCATGGAACCCTGACAGCAATGCCTTACAGTCGCCTACTATACCTAGTAACCCTTGCAGTAGCTAAGGAAGCCGTCCGGAAGCCTTTAACAAACTTAGGATCGGCCTGGCGTTGCTACCAGCACGACATAGCCGGAAGACACGGCGTCCAAGGTTTCGACGTCCTTCGGGTTTGGGGTTTAGGGCTTATGCCAGGAAGTAAAAATAAGGAACAAGGAAGCCTAACAGGTAGGTCTCCTGGGTTCAGGAAGCACCTAAACCTACACCCCCAAGGCTTCACATCCCAAACCCTAAACCTCGAGCCTTCAACCTCCCAACCCCAAAGCCCCGAACCCCTGTGACCCTCTTTAATCCTGGCATCTATAGGGGCCTTTAAGGGGATATCATGGCACAAACTTTCCCTGGATTCAACTAAACTTCTTAAAGCCCGATATTCCAAGTAGACCCGTGCCCTGAAGCCCTGAGGACCTTCACGTGGAAGATCTGAAGTTTAGTGCCCAAAAGACCCTAAAAACCCCTGAGCCCACGTCCTCAAACCGCGAGACGATTGAAGCCGAGTTTTGCTGGTCTTCGACCCCGAGACCGCGCGCGACCCACCCTGGCAGTCCTCTTCCCAACTGGAGCCACCTCGGAGCTGTTTCTTAGCGGTGTGGGACTCATGTTCCGGGCGCACTTAATAGGGGTTGAGGCTGTTTGGGGGTTTTGGGTTGAGGTTGAAATGGACCCAGGAGAAGGGTCATGGTGGTCACCGTATGCAGAAAGCCCCATGAGGTACTTCTTATCCTGCATGTGGGACGCGGCATTAAGATCATAAACCAGAAAGCATATAAGGAAGCCCAGAAGCCTTATCTAGTATGGTCTTCGGGCTAGACCTTTCTTTACAGAGCGATAGTATTAACAAAGAACATGCAACCAAAAAGATGACTAGTAAAAAGCGGCTTTAATAGTAGGGCTCTGGGGTATTTTATTTCTAATACGGAACCCTAAGCAACTAGTATTGGCAAATTATTCCGACCCTTATTGTTACATTTCAATCCTCAGAGGTCGACCATCTCAGCGGAATGCATAGGTACACAGTGCCGTGAACCCAAAACGGAACTAGTTATACTCCGCCATAAACCCTGCACATGAGGATCCTTACTAGAAGCCTGTGTATACACATGTATTATGAATCTTACGCCATATCAGGGTCGTTAATACCAAAAACAGCGTCTTCCTTAACAAGCTGCTTTCTGGGCTTTCTGGCTATGCCTCGCGGTCAAAGCTTGCAACTCTCGACTTCCCCGGGCTTCCACCCGAAACCCTGCAAGAACCCTAAACCCGGAACCCGATACAACCCTGAAGCCAAAGGGTTTAGGGATTAGGAGATCCCACCCTGAGACCAAAGGGTGCCGGCTTAGGTTCTGGCCCACCATGAGCACCGGCCTTGAACTGGGAGGTTTCGGTTCGGCATGCTGGGGTTAGGCTTGGATTTAGGATCTAGGGTTTAGAGTTTAGGGTTTAGGGTTTAGGGGTTTAGGGGTTTAGGGCTTAAGTGCCTACGACGAAGGATCGAACCTTTCTGGGACACGACCGACAAGGCTGGTCTTTTCTTGTTCTGCGGGACGGGGAGGGCTTGTGGCGGGGATGGTGGGGAGCTCTGGGTTTGAGAACCTTAAAGCCCTAAAACCCAAAGGCCCTAAGCCCTGAATGCCAAATCCAAAAAACATTACACGCACCTTTTTACTTTGCTCCTTAACAGCTTGAGGTTTGGGCGCGGGCCTTTGGAACTTTAGGTGTTCGAGAAGGTTTGTGGGAGCCAGGGCTCGATTCAAAGGGTTCTGGCAGCGCTTCGAACCCTAAACCCTGAACCTCTTAATCTCTAAACCCTAAACCCCTTAATCTCTAAACCCCTAAACCCCTAAACCCTAAACCCTGAACCCCTAAACCCCTAAACCCCTAAACCTCTAAACCCTAAGTTGCCGAGCGGGCCTACGGCAGATGTTCCTTCATCGTGGGGTTGGACTAGACCTGAGACTCAGGAGGGCCTGGCAACCTCTACTAAAAGCCCCCCTAAACCCTAAACCCTAAACCCTAAACCCTAAACCCTAAACCCTAAACCCTAAACCCCCTTAAATCAAAAATCCGAAGGCCCGCTTGTAATACAGGAGCCTTAATGCTTAGAATCGGGTGTTGGGTCCTTTATAGTAGAAGTATAATAAGGAACCACCAAAATAGTATAGGTAATTATTGAGGCTCCCCCCCAAAAAAAATGTAGATGCAACCCCGGCGACAAAACGACTCAAGATCAAGGATGCCTTCTCTAAGGGCATGTTTATGCGGAATCCTACTCTTCACGGTTTCATTCCGGTCCCGTACATTTTGAAACACACAATGCGGATTGGGGAAAAATAGGATCAGCCCTGAGTGGTAAGAGCACATCTTTGCAACGAGTGGAGAGGGGTTTAGGGTCTAGGGTACTAGAAGAGGGACCTAGCATGCAAACACGCTCCAATGATCTCCAAGAAGCTTCAGGGAGGGGAAGTGATCTGCGAGCTTCGAAGCTTCAGCGTGTATTTGCATGGAAAGCTCGCGCCTGCAAGAGCAGTGCACTAGTTGGGGGGGGCTTAAAGCTTAAGAATTTGGGAGTAGGTTGAGGATGCTAGACTCCATGAGGCTTCGAAGAGTTGACGTGGCCTAGGGCTTTTATTGTCGAGTGTTTTGCCCAAGCTGACGGGTTGTTCTGGGTCCCCAAGCTATAGGGTCCTGTATTAAGAATACAACTATAGGGCTCCCCAAAGGGGCCATGATATTGACATAGGAGCTAATTACCCATCGAGCAAAGCTGATGCAGGCTGATATTCGTAAGTGACTTGCATAGGGGGTCCGAATCTGCAGCGTGTGTGAGATGTGCGACAAGCTCTCTCCATTTCTTTGGAGTGACATTGCGACAAAGAGTAACATCCAAAAGAGGCCAGCCACAAACGTCAGGAGCTCTTTCGATCAATGGTGGAGTCGTATCTCACTTCTCGATGGATGTAAATAGGCTTCTGCAAACGGCAAAATAGCATCTCACGACCAGCTTGCGCCTAAATCTTGAACGCTATATTAGCTGCAGGGTTTGCAGTTTTGATCTACGGTTTTGAGCTCTTCCGCTTGCGGCTTCAGGACTTTGAGCGTTTCAGCTTGTAGGGTTGCCGCATGGCCTCCGAACTGAACAAACTAAAAAGCTGGAAGCCTTTCGATGCTAAGCCTTCAGACCCGGCAAAGCATGAAACCTAAGGATCACTAACAGAAACCCAAATGATTAGAATAGGGTCTGGAGGGGTATATTATCGTATCGCTATAAGGAGCCCTAAGGAATAACATAGGAAATTGTTAAGGCTCCCATATGCCCTAAACCCTAAACCCTAAACCCTAAACCCCGCGGGCTTTCGAGTTTAGGGAACGGTACGGCTCCCAATGGTGCGAACCAGGTGCACCGGGCTGAGGATCAACATCGCCAGCTCCACTTCTGAAGGTGGGTCGGCCCGATGCAGGCCTAGGGTTTAGGGTTTGGGGTTTAGGGTTTAGGGTTTAGGGTTTAGGGTTCAGGGGTTAGGGTTTAGGGTTTAGGGTTTAGGGTTTAGGGCCAAAGGGACTGGTGATCTTCGAACTTCGGAGCACGGTTTTTCGAGGAGAGAGCAACCTGAAACCCGACCCCCTACGTGGAGCCTAGGAGTTTGAAGCCTATCCGGAAACTTCGCTTCGTTGGGGGGCTTGCTACTCTGATGTTGTCTGCATACAGGGTGGAGGGTAGAAGAAAGCTTTCAACACATCATCGCAGTGGTGCCATCCTCCTGAAAATACCCAAAGCGTGAACTTTGGGAGCGCGTCAGGGTTTCCTCACCGCAGGAACCCATCCCTGAGGGTCGTGTTCCTTTCAATCTTTCTAAGGGCTTCTTTTAGGGTTTAGGGTTCAGGGTGTGGGGTCTAGGAGACGCTTACTGCTATAAGGGCCATATTTAGGCCCCTACTTAGGCCTATAAACCCTCCCCCTGAACCCAACCTGAAACCTTTCACACATCAAGATGCCTGACCACTCAATAAACCCCATTTCTTGCATGGCCAAAACGGGGAGCTTGCTCCTTAAAGGGGAACCTTCAAACCTGGGCCCGGCCCGCAAGCCTAAATAAACCCTCTGAATCCTAAAGGATTCCCCCACCCTGCCTCTAAGCGCCCCGATGGTCGAAGATGGAACCAAAAGATAAAAAAAAAAAAAAAAACTCTAAACACGCCCCCGTGAACCCTGAACCTTAAAGGAACCCTCAGCCCGGAACCCTCAAGCTACCCTTCTAGTAGCCGTATATATATATATATATATGCTATATATATATATATGTATGTGGACCCCTAGGAATCCGAAACTCGGTGAACCCTGAGTCCTCATGGTAACTCTGAAAGTAATGAAAGGAACTCTACTGGAAACCGAAACGCCTTAAACCCCCTTTTAAGTCCCGGAAGAGCCCTTATTGAAAGGCCGCCTTCTTTCGAAGGCGCCTGGTATCAACCCGTACAAACAGAACCGCTATCAAACACTTATAGTAACCTTTATTGAACCCTTACTGGCCCTTCTAGCAATCCTCATAAAAAACCTAAACCCTAAACCCTAAACCCTAAGCCGAGACCCCTTCAGACTTCAGTCGGACGGCGGTCCATGGTCGGCAGAAGGAAGCTCAGAGTCTTTCCAGCTCCCGTTTTCGCCCGGACCAGGAGGTTACCTGAGGAAGCTCTGATGCAGGGGGCTGTGCAACTTTTCGTAGGGCTCTACTCTTCTTAGAAGGACTTACAGAATTGTGGAGGGGGTTGTACGTAAAAGGTGTTCTCGGGATTTATCAGGCTTTACACTTCTTACAAGGTCTTTATCGAATTACCCTAAACCCTAAACCCTAAACCCTAAACCCTAAACCCTAAACCTTAAACCGTAGGGTTTTGCAACGCTTTGATGCACGGCGGTTATAAGCGTTTCCTATAAGGCTGGTGCAAGGTCTGCCAGGATCTTGAAGGGCTTAGGGCTTAGGGTTTAGGGCTTCGAGGGTTTAGGGTTTAGGGTTTAGGGTTTAGGGCTTCGAGGGCTTGGGGTTTAGGGCTTAGGGTTTAGGGTTTGGGGCTCAGGGTTTAGCGCTTAGTCTTAGCTTTTCTTGGTTTACAAGGGTTCTCTAGAATTGTTGTACAGGTTTGGTGTTACCTGAGAAAGTTGTTGATGTAGGAGTTTAAGGATCTGGAGTATAGTAGGGGACTATACTTCAGTCTCACAGAATTGGGAAGTTTTGAGGGGACATTATTATGCGAAGAGTCCAGGGGTTTCCCTAATCGTTTGCAGGACACAACACTTGGCTGCTTAGGGTTTAGGACAGCAAGGCAAGTTATTCTAGAGGGTTTAAGGCTTCGGGGTATGTTACAAGACATAGATATGTTCGCGAAAAAAGGGATGCTACTACTGTTGTCTCATTTAAGGTTAACGGCTTGGGAGTTTAGGGCTTAGGGGTTCAGGTGACTCAGGTGTTAGCTGTTTCGGGCACTGGGCCCTGAGCCCCATGAAAACCATGAAGCCAAAATGTCCCGAAAGGGGTATGGAGTCTGTAAGCCCCTTCAGTCCAAAATCAAAATGTGTTGTCCTTGTTGCTTGATCCTTTGGGCTCACATTGTAACAATCGTGTACTGTGTTCCTTGAGGAACACCCAGCATTAAGCCCTAGACCCGACGTCCCAAAGCTCAAGCCCCAAATCCCAAACCGTAAACCCCATTTGTCACCATTTCAATGCATGGCGCTGTAGCGGCGAAAACAAACAAGTCCTAAACCCTCAACCAAGAGCCCCAATCCCTAAACCCCAACCCCTGAACCCAATCCCATCCAAAACCCTAAACCATCCATAACCCAAATAGGGCCCACATCCTAAAGCCCTGCTGCTGCCCTCCAGGATCGATTGGAAGGTCGCTTGTTGTACATCCTCGGCTGGCCAGGGGCGCTTGTAAATGCTCATCAGGGACTACTACTATGAGGGTTGATGTAAGGGCTTATGTAAGGGTTTCAAGAAGGCCACGACACCGCATGTGTTGTAAAGCCTTCTGTCAGGGTTTTGTAAAGGTTTGACATTACACGAGTTTTGTCGACGAGGGATTTTAGACAGGTTTGAAAGCCTCATATAAAAGGTTTGAGTGAGGGTCGCAGGCTTGGATTTGGATTTAACGCTAGAGTCCAGGGTTTAGGGTTTAGGGTCTATTGTTTAGGGCTTCAGATCGACTTACTTTGCTCAGGCTGCGTCCACTCATCTCTCTTACGACTATGCCATCGGTTCTAGGAACATGACTATAAGCACTTAGCCCCATGATGTATGCAATCAGTATCAACACTAGAAACAGACAGAATAGTAAAGTGCGCTAGATGCATAAGTCGTACTCATCAATCGCACCGACACCCACTTCGATATTGCTGAATCAAGGAAGGCAGGACCGTCATGCAAGACATATGGGAGTTTCAGAGATTATGCGCAGCTAGCTAATTGAAAGTAAGCTGCTCGGCGGGATAATTACGATACGGACCTCTCAAATAAACACCCATGGTGTTGCGACAGCCCTGTGTGATGTGGTCAAAATAGAGACGCCAATCGAAACTCTGTGCCGAAATAGGTCCAAACCAATATGTATCCTAGCTGTACCCGAAAGTCTCACGCAGGCAGATATCCCACTCAGAAATTGCGAGGCAGTCTCAGTCAGCGCCTCGTACCCGAAGGTTTCTCGCATTGCGGCCTGTTGGGGCTCAGAGTTCGATCCTTTAAAGGGCTTTAGGACATCTGGATGTCGGCACCCTCTCCGACTGCAAGGTGTAGAAAGACTAGAAGCACATGCATAACCTCGCAACTTGAAATTTTGCCGAGGTTTCTGCCCTGAACCCCTCAGAATTTACTACACCCTAAGACGAGCTCTTGTTAAGAAGGTACGGGGCGTTTCAGGATTGATAAAGGGCCGGCAATGCTTCAAGGACCAAGATTTTGCTACTGAAAACTACTTATTGGGATTCGGAAGCCCTATAAACCTCCAGCAACTCAAATCCAAGCCTAATGAGCCAACAGCCCCGAACAAATCTCGAGGGAACGGTTGCAGCCCCTGTAGAGCGGCAATTACGCCATCAGCCACAGGCGCATATGATCACGACGGATAGATGAACATGGAGACCCCCAAGAATGACACTAATTATTGGGAGGTATCTTACTAAAGAATACATAATATTGGTACTCAGGCCCCTACACACAGACCTAGTAGTCCTAATAGCCTATAGCCCTCTAAGTACATCACCAGGATTAAAGTTTGGTCGCACTTGCCTAGACCATCTTGCGGAGGACGCGGAGTACTTAGAAGTGCATTTTACGTGGCCTGGCAACCCCAGGAATTAATCCACCGGAATAAAATAGTACTACTATAATGTTCCGGACGGAGGACTGGGTGGAGGAGTCTGAGGGGGAAAGGGGTTTGTGTTGTGTTCAAGAGCGACATACAGAGTGCGACGAACCTTCGTCCTACCACAGTACGAGAACACATTTGCTGACTTCAACCCAAGTGCTGAATTGTTGGGCACGTCGCAGCATGTCTGAACATCGACACTGCTTCGACTTACTCCCCCACGCCCACAAAGTCCTACCCACTCCAAACCAAAAAACAAAAATGAAGCCCGAACGCACCTTGCCCTCGTCAGAGAGTGCTAGGTCCTCGAACCGTGTCTGTGTTGGCGCCTCAAGCTGCGGCTAAAGCGGTTCAAAGTTGGACTGAAGCTTATCATGGCGTTTGTGGCTTCGAGGTAGAGTTATAGCAGTGTTGTCGTCCAGGTCTTCTGCTAATACACGGTTTTGACAACCGCGTTGGGTTCGAATATTCCCGGAAGACCACTTTACTTAAGGTAAGGAATGATTTTGGCGATAGCCCTTCAACTGCAAACCCCTCAGCGACATGTACCAAATTCCACCCCCAGACCTTTAAACCACAAATCCTTCCTGTGGCTCCAGTTGGTTACTACAGGCAACTCCGACGGCCAATTCACAGGCCTCAAACTGATAATCCTAAATGCCGACACCTCCCTGAAACAGCACCGTCTTGCGTTCCCACACATAGATTAGGGTTTACTGTTTAGGGGGCGAACCCCACTCACACCATTGACAACCCAACTCTGCCGGTCGAATCTTTCGATCAGGATTGAGTAAGCAAGGTTAGAAGTACCATGATATTGGAACAAAAGTGAGTATACCTATAGCCTGTAGCTGTAGCTACTTTAATTATCATCATACTTACGAAGTTGAAGTACACCCTAGTTCAAAAATCCTTTAAAAAGCCCTTTTCAAATAAACCGGTAAAGCCTCGTGGAAACCCGGTACAGTAGCAGCTCTTGTGGGGGTTATAAGGGTTTGGGGTTAAACCTTCTGGAACAATATGGCACCATATGGAACCCTATAGCAACCCATATAGAGTATACTGAAGTATGTCTTAGTATATTATGATATTCTTCGGATCCCCTTCGCCCCTGCGCCGCCTCCACCTGCGAGGTAGCCCACCGCCGGAGCGGCCTCTGGTTTTGATGCTTAAGCGCCAGGGCTTGACAGAAGGCCCTAACATAGAGGCCTGAATGACCAGAACAAGGCTTTGTGACCGACTATAAATAATAGTTAGTATCATGATGATGCTAGCGCCTCAGGTACAGAACCCCGGCGACTGGTATTGGTGATTCGTCACACTTCTACAATACCCGAGCGCTAATATTCAAAACTTTGGTTTTTAGGGAGGGTGGGGCTCCTGAATGCGATGCCTTGTATGTGTGTTGTTGACTTAAAGACAGAGTTTGGAGCTTCAAGGTTTTTAGGCTCCAGGCTTTTCTGGTTTTTTGGAGTTCAGGATGTAGGGTTCGAGGTTTTAGGGTTTTAGGGTCTAAAGTCCCTGACTTCAAGCTTTAGGTCCTAGGGTTCTTAAGTGTAGGGCTTTAGGCTTTAAGGTTGCTCTGGCTTTTGGACTTTAGGGCTTTAGGGTGTTAAATCTTCAGGGCTCAGGAATAAAGATTTTGGGGTTCGGGATCATATTGAGTTTTGATTGCCTGGGTTTCAGGGTCCATGATTTGAGTCCCTTCCCCAAAAGAAAGGCCTGATTATCCTAAGCCCCAAAACCCCGAAGGAAAACCCCGAGTTCCAAGCGTGCGATTTTTTTTGTATTTATCTGTACATATTCATACAGACGTATACATATGCAAAGACCAGAACGACAACACCGCCCTAATGCCCAAACCCAAAATCCCGTTTAGAACCCAAAGCGGTACCCATCACGGTAACCAGTAACCCTAATATCAGAACGCCGTCTAGTAATGTAGGGGCCTCAATAATTACCTATATTATTTTTTTTTGGGGGGGGTTCCTTATTATGGTTATAAGATGCCCCAAAACCCTATTCTAATTATTTAGGCCCCTAAACTAACCCGTGTCTACGAGACCTCGCCTCCGCAAGCAGATGTCACCATGGCTTGGGATCTGAACAAAGGGTGGCCCAACACCTCGGAGGAGCCAAACTCAAGAGTACAGGGCTTAGGCTTTCGAGTAGGGAGCTTTTGCGGGTTTGTTTTTCGGGTTCTGTTTTGGGGTTTTCGGGCTACTAAGGGCTTAGGGATTTGAGACCTGGAGCTTATGGGAATTAGTTCGATGTCCTTTAACAGCTTCCCATATAGACATCTGGCCAGACTAGAAGTAAAATACTTCCTCATACTCGGTCCTAGACAGCTATTCACTGCAATTTCTCGTGCCCGTATCACAAGGCGAACACCAAGAGGATACTTAATTACATATACCATACAAACATCTTGAACCCCGAACCCGAAACCCTAAACTCTAGACCCTAAGCCCTAAAAACCTAAAACTCCAAACCCTGAAATCCTGTGAAACCCTAAACCCTAAACGGCACTAAACCCTATTGGCTCTATTGCAACCGTAATCCCTTTGCCCGAAACCAGTAACCCTAAACCAAGACCCTAAACCCTAAAATTCCGAGCAGCGCCAGAAAAGAGCCACTGCCGCCGCGCCAAGGCAACGAGTTCGGAGCGACATAGCGCTCTTTATGGGCTTTAGGGTGTTTGGGGTCTATAGGGTTTAGGGTTAGGGCTTAGGGTTACCGATTTGGGGTTTAAGTTGGGGATTTAGGGTTTTAGGGTTCAAGGTTTAGGGCTGTAGGGTCTTAGGGTTTAGATTTGCGTAGGGGTTGAAAGTTTAGTAGGCTCAGGTTTGGGGGTTTAGGCTTTTGGGGTAGAGGGTGTTTGGTACAGGGCTTGTGGTTGCTGGGGTTTGAACGGGTTCGTAGTTTGTCGTTTATACAGGGCCTTTCTGGAGTCTACCAGGATTCGTGTTCGTAGGCTTCTTGAGGTTGCAGGGTGTAGGGGTTTTGGGATGTAAGGTTTATGGGGTTTGGAGCGTAGCGATTAAGGATTTTGGGGTTGGGTTCGGGGATTTCAGGGTCCTCTAGCTACTTGTCCAGCTTTCTAGCGGGACTGAAGCTTACGCTGCAAAGTTCAGCGGGGATTATATGCCACCCCAACAGGTTCAAGGTCCCTGAACCCTAAACTCTAAAGCCCAAACCCTACCTTAACCTGCCAAAACCCACTTGTTTGTATAGGGTCCCTATAAATTCCATATTAGGGTTTAGAATAGGAACCTACTAAAAAAAGTAGAGTTTGGTAGTTTCAGGTACATCTTAAGCTTACCCAGTTTTGCTTCTGGCCTGTCGAAGCAGGACTTCGAGCCGGACGGCGCGAAGGGTTTTGGATCTTTGCAACGACAGACCTGCTGAGCTGCACGTAGTGTGCGGAAGATTCTTGGTACATCCTAAACCCTAAATCCTAAACCCTAAACCCTAAACCCTACACGGAGCACCCCAAAACACCCTAAAGCAAAGAGGCTCCGCAAGCCCTGGGCGTTTAGGGTTTGGGATGGTTTAGGGCTTATAGGGGGTTTATAGGGCCTAGAGGCCTATAGGGTTTAGGGTTTGGGGTTTGGGGTTTAGGGTTCAAAGTGGCATGGGACCTCTGGGCGTGGACCCATAATGAGACTAGATGGAGGGATCAGGGCTTGCTCTAAAGGCCTTCACAAGTAGAAATGCGGTGGTTGGGCTCTGCTACAGGTTCTACAAGGGTTCTGCAGGGATGATCGGTATGGAGCAAAGCATTCATGACGAAGCCTAACGATCCCGAATCCCTAAAGCCGAGCCCAACTGAAGCAGCCGAAGCCACAATCAGAACGGAGCAGGTTTACACGGGTTGTAAGTTCGCCAGGCACAGAATTGTTCGCCAATAAAAATCACGTTCACAATGCTCCGTCTCGGACAACGCCAACGCCTCCAAATTGCAGTCGCCCATAGCCCCGAACACTGTCACAACCCGACGAGCGTGTGGCTCGTTGGTAATTTCGTAGTTCGTGCGGCTGACCACCATGTTGCCACCGACACGGAACCTGCGCATGCACTGAACGCCTGGTTCTGTTGCTAGGGCTACGACTTTCACTGGGCAATTACAAAACAAGGGAGACTTGAGGCCTAAATCCTGGGAGCCCAAATAGCCGAAAGGCCTGTTGCCAAACTGACCGCAGAGCTCAAGCCGCGTGTAGCGGCGGCGCCTGGGCTGCACCCAAAACCCTAAAACCAGCGATGCAATGCTTGGAGGCCTGGGGGCTCACAGGAAGGAAAGGCTAAGGTTGGGAGTTGGCACTTGCATTTAGTCACGCCTGCGTGCTGTAGACCCCTGGTTAATCACCACCCGGAAGGAGGACTATAATACAGTTATCGAATACGGAAGGCACTTAACCCCTACAAGTGTTATATATATATATATCAGCACTGAAAGCGGCCGGCATAAACCTTCCTTCCTGCCGTGCGCGACGGTGGCACAGCTCGATTGGGGCTGGGTACTGAACCTCAAGCCCTGGTCTATCGGTCTTAGTAATCAGCACAGGTCCTATCTTCAGCTATCAGAATACAAGGCTTTCGGGGCTTGTTTTAGGAGGCAGGTGTGCTATAACTTCAAGCAGGGGCCCCCTGAGGCTAAGGAATCTCTTTCCGGCATGGTCGTTGGGCCCACATGCCTCATAAAGGATGAGTCCTTAAAGCCATCAAAACCAGAATTCCCATGGAATCCGTTTATGGAAGCCTTGAAGGATCAGTCCTAGAAGCCTTAGAGTCATGGCGGTCATGGTTTAGGGTTTCCGATTTAGGGTTCTTGGAGGTTCATGGGTAGTTATAAGTAGGGTTATAAGTAGGATAACTGTAGTTCCAACCTGCATTAGGCTTATTAGGGGACTTATAATAACTCCCAGGGGTCCAAGTACCCATTATTTAAGGACTTTGGTGCCTTTTTGGGTACCTAAAACCATAAATATGGATTACTTGGACCCTTAGGCACTCCAGTTGTAACTACCCATGAACCTCCAAGTTAAAGGTACTCCTCAGCCCCGGGCGGCGGGCGGATGACCAACTTCCAGACCTTTCGGGGGAAAAGATCCTAGCCGAAGTTCTGCTCTGCCCTAAACCCTAAACCCTAAACTCTCAACCCTAAGCCCTAAACCCTGCATAAGAAGGGGCACCTTTACTGTATGGGTGTTTACGGTGTGTCACAGGATATTCATAACCGGCTCCTCTAAAGGTTTTAGGCGAGTTCAAAGGAAATCAGCAGAAGCGTAATGGGGCTTCACACGGTTTGAACCGCGATTGGGGCCTGTCATCGTGCAGGGTAATTACCAATTTCGGGATTCTGTGTTTGATTTCTCGAGGCCCGGGAATTGATGGAGGGATGCAGGTATGGGAGGCTCCCTAAACCCCAAACCTTTCATCCTAAACCGTAAAACCTACACCCGAAGCCCAATAAATCTGAAAGCCTGAACCCGAAACCCGAAGATACCCACACAGCTCACCTCAACTCTAATCCCGACACGGTGGAGACTGAAAGGGAGAGTGGAAGTTGTAAACACCGCAGCCAAGATGAACCGCTCAAAGTTTTGGGATCGGGGTTTCGGGTTTGGGTTTACGGTTCAGGCTTCAGGGTTTCGGGTTTAGGGTGCAGGATTTAGGGTTAAGGGTTCAGGGCAGCAAAACTCCTCAACTCTAACTCTGAACCACGGTCCTCGTGTCACAAGCCATCCACAAGCAAGGTAATCATACCCCCTAAGCCGCCTAAAGTCCCGGAGTGCAGAGACCCCCCAGCATATGCTACCACCAGAGAACGTACCCGATCCTCCAAACCGAAAGTCGTGAAATCCCAACAAAAAGAATCAAACCTTCCGGAAGACCTCTACCAATGACGGCTTGGCCATGTGAAGTCCATGCGTCACACTCCAAGCATTGAACTTAAACCTACCCAGAGGGCCCAGATATACTGTAGCATTTAGAAATTTCGGAAATTTCGGGCGCTCCCTCGATGCCGTTACCTAGTAGTAGCAGTATTAGTAGTAGTAGTCGTCGTAGTAGTAGTAGCAGTAGCAGTAGTTGGTTGGCTATTTGGCTTCGGTCTTCAGGCCTGTTCGATCTTAAATCCTCGGGTTGAGGGTCTAGGGTTCCGGTTTGGGGAATGGGGTTTGGGGTTTTTAGGTGTCGATTTCAACAGTCCCCAAAGCTGTTTATAATTCGGGCTCTAAAATAAACGGTACAAGGAAAGGAAATCATAAAATTATCCCAAATCGACACCTCGTCTAGGGTTCTAGTTCAACCCTGCGATGGGCTCGATCACCCTGAACCCGGACCCAAAACCCCTTAAGCCAAGGCCCCGGGCGGCGAAGACATACTCATGGACGCTCAAGGCTTCCTTGCTGGGGTGGGGGGGGGGGTTGAGGGTTTAGGGTTAAGGGGATGGGGCAGGGGCCCGGAATAAGTTGCGGCTTAGGACTTCGAATCGTACTTAACGGGCGCGATCTAGACCACGGCATTCATTAATGACCGGGACGGCACGATCGTTGCGTTTCGTATCTATCCAAACGACTATAATAGTACCACGGTACCACCACTTATACCCCAGTATTCAGTCACGTGCAATGGCAGGGAATGTTCCGGCGAAGAACTGGAAGCCATCCTCTCCTTATCCTGACTGCAATATCTGCGCTCTGCACGAAAGAGGTACCTTTCAGAGATTTGGAAAATTTTCAAGTATAATGAGAATAAGGAACCCTAAGGAATAAAAATGGCAATTATTACACGGCGACATATCAAGAGTCTCTGGTCTGCGGCCAAGCATCCAGCGTCATCACAGGCGACGGCAAACGGGAGAAGACGGAGAGATGAGAGACCCGCTAGTCAGCCTTTTCCTTCCCACGAGCAGCTCCAGGCAATCTTCAACCCCCAAACCCTAATAGAGTGATCTGAATGTCCCAACATTAGGCAGAAATAGTCCGCAAATACCTCGTGCTGTGGAGTTATGTCAACACTTGAGTTAAACTTTGCAAGGTGCAATGCCGGAAGTTTGTACAGGGAGGACGCGTAGGCTGTTTGCGAGAAGGAGACTTCATGTTCGTCAGCCAAAATCGCAACGCGGAATTTGTCGGTCATGGATGGTTTAGGGTATATACTATGGCATTTTAATGTTAGGGCTTCAGGGGCTTGGGATGGTCATGCGGGTTCCAGAAGCAGTATATATGAGCATTCTTAGAATTACACACGGCATACCCAGACGCCTTGGCTTGTGGCTGCCTCTCTCGGCTACCTTGTTTTCCGTTTCAATCGTCCCCAAGCCCAGAACACAAAGACTCCTTTCCTGCCCCCCCTTGTTCGAGCCCTTCAGGAACCCATATGAAGAGAGCTCTTTTCTCTTCTCTCATGATGGAGCCACTCCGTCGCTGGCGGAGGCCCGTCGCCCAGGCACCCGGCTCCTCCAAGGGCTCCCAAAAAAAAGTTGAAAGACATGGTTCTATAAACACTAAACCCTAAGCCCCTAAACTCTAAACCCCTAAAGCCTAAACCCAAAGCCCCTAAAATCTAAACCCCTAAACTCTATACAAGGGTTCTATAATTCCATAAACGGTCTCATGCAAGGGTTCCATCAGGGGTTCTGTAGAGGGCTCTACCCGGGTTCTATTGTCCAAGCAAGGTGTGCAGAAGGAGGGCTTTTACGGTTTGAGACAGAACATAGGGGTCGGATGTGCTTGACTGAACCAGAGGGGCACATAGTATAAGGATTCCTACTTATAAGTGATCCCTAGCTGCCCTAGCTTCGGGACAAAATACATCTAGGGCTCAAGACACGGAGGAGTTTGGGAGACTGAGAGCTACAAAATCCATCAAGTCCCTTTTCAGCCTTGAAGCCACAAACCCGACTCCCCCTAGACCCTAGAACCCTAAACCTTAAACCTTAAACCTTAAACCTTAAACCCGAAACCGAAATCCCTCACCCAAATGCCTCGAGCAGCCCCAGAGCTGTAAGGCTTCAAGGTGTTGTACCCGAAAAACCCGAAGAATTCGATGAATGAGATGTTAAAAAGCCAAAGCCGAAACCCTAAACCCACCGATAGAACACTTATGAACCCCAAACCCAAAACAACCCTAAACCCTAAATAACCCCACACCCCCCGATGGAACCCTTGTAAGAACAGCACCTAGACTTTTCTCAAGCCTCGAAGTCGGTCGCGGAGGCCTCTGCCAACATGCTCATGCTTCCAGTCACGTCTGTCGGGGCATCTGGGTCTAATGTAGGAGCTTTACGTATACGGTTTAGGGCTTGAGGGGTTTAGTAGGTTCTGGGTTCAGGGTTCTTGGATCTATCATGGATCTTTCTCTAACGGGGGTGGTGTGAGGAAAAACTTTCACAAAGTTCTGCTTGATTTAAGGGTTTATTTAGACTCAGCAGGAGATCGAGAGCTTTCGGCTTCAGGTGCTTGTAAGGTGTAATGAACTGAATAAGGGGCCCTTACTACTTGGAAAGGGTTCTGGGTTTGGGGTATACAATACAGTGGTTATACGGAGGACCCTCACCAATGAATATTGACGTTTATTTAAGCCTCTATAATAGATTCTGGCTCAAGGTGCAGAGGCCACAGAATCGAAGGGAGCATTCGTCAGATATGTTCTGGCTGCATGTGTGCTAAGTTCCCATATTTAAATACTGCGCAGCAGTACTATTCAAAGTGTAACAGAAATTAAAAAAACACACAAAGGGTAGTTCACCAAATTAAGGTCCCTTTTAGGGCCGGGTCCTTTGTATAAGGGTGCCGTACTATGTTGGCGATCTCACAAGGGACCCTAATTCAGAGTACTGCCCCAAAGGCAACAACGTCGGGTTTCGAATTACTGCCCGGTATCAAAAACGCATGTCTGAATGTCATTCGGATTTTTGAAGCTACAGCCACTCCACAGGTTTCTGCCTTTTCTTGCGCTAGCAGATGAAGCCTGAGAAGAACATAGCCCCGTCACACAGGCGCATATGCTTTTTGCACGTTCCGCAAACGTTTCTGCGTGGTTGGAACTGGCGGCTTGCTTTGAGCACCATGAAACCTATCACCGCGGAGCACGCAGAATGCAAAACACGCAAACCCGAAGCTCGCAACTACCAGCCAGAAACACGAAACTCTAAAGCCCTACAGACCCTACGAGTAGATTCTCAACCCAAACCGGCAGACTGCACCAAACTGTACAGTAGATCGGGCTCGAAGAGGGGTGAAGACTGGGCTGCAGATATCACTCCCGGACACGGTTCAGCCTGGGCACAAAAACTGCAAGTCCGAACCGCAAATCAGCCGTTATACTCTCATGGTATGATATCTCTTCTAGAACTCCCATGACCCAGGGCAAGACTTAGGGGTCCTACGTGGAAGAGATTCGAGGACGGACTTGGGAGTTTCAGTAATGAGCTTCGGAACCACCTTTTGGTCTTAGACGCTGAGTATCCTGGCCCAAAAAACAGGTAACCTGTCCAACCATGACAGGAGCAATGTAGAGGAGCCCGTAATAACTAGAATAGGGTTTTTGGGAGTTCCTGATTGTAACTAATTATAGTATACTATACCCCCAAACCCTATTCTATTTAATTATTCAGGCCCCTATATTGTATAGCCCCAGCAGGTTGAAGCTTATAACTACTCAGATACTACTTTTTTTAAGGAGTGTAGTTGCATGGTATTGGGTTTCCGAGGCCTGATGAGGGATATAAGATGGTGATGATTATGATGATTGCTACTAATAATACACAACCGTACTATACGAAGGCGAGAATAATAACGACGACGAACAACAACTTGTGTGAAGGATTTCAGCTCTAGGGTTCTGCTTCTGTTTACTCAAAAACTTCGAAGATCATTGCTGATTTTGGGCTTTTGACCCCACAATCTACCTCAAAACCCAATTCTACTTGTTAAAGTGTCAATATTGCCCGTATGGCATACACTTTGGCCCCAAAGTACCGATATAGGGAGCACTCTAAGGCCACAGTATGTATTTATATTTATATATATATATATATATCAACACATGGATCCTTAGGCTTACTCTTTTTCTTACTAGGGAAGCCTTGCGCATTCCGATTATCGACGCTACAAATTCAGTGTCCCAGTGGGTGCATACTTGGAGGTTTATGGGTAGTCAGAAGCGGGTCATAAGGAGGAACTAGAGTTATAACTAGGGGACTTACACTCCACTTATGATAAATACCCATGAACCTCCAAGTAGAGCCCTTATAGAGCCCTTATTCGAACCCGTAAAGCAGCCTCTATAGATCCCTTAGAAGGAACCTTATAGCCGGGTTTAGGATTTAGCGTTTCTTTATAGCTACCCATGAACCTCCAAGTATGACTTCCGGCCGAGCTGAACGGCTCTGTCAGTAGACCCTGGACCCCGAAGGCTAAAGTCCGAACCCTGATACACACACTTCATGGAAATTTCTGTTCAAGTCCTGAAAGAGTCCATGTCTCTTTCCAAACCCCAAACCCTAAACCCAATGCCTCCGATACCTACACCCTGAAAGGCTCTATGTTGTTTGCGGAAGGGGAGCAATGACTCCTCCGATGGAACGCCACCGTTGAGGCGCGAATGGATGACTTTTGTATACCGCTGCCTTAGTTTTCTGAAGCATTTGCTGGAACTTCAAATAGATTTGGTTCCAGGCGTGACTGGTGTGCTTTGTGAGGCTTCAAGAAAGGCTTCTCGATCAAGTTGTCCAAATTCAACAGTCTTTGACCCTTACTTGTGGCCCAAGCACGGGTTTGCTGTGTCCAGAAGGGGTTTGGCGACGGCGTTTTAACTTTGGAGGAGGCTGGGGATGAAGGGACTTGGACTCTTGCCTGTGCGGCTGCTTTGCCTGAAGACCAGTGAGAGGCCGGGATTGACAAATCCGGCTTGCCTCGAGGATGTCATTCATAAATTACGTGCTTGATGTAGGGCTGACGCAGGATCTTCATTTCTGCTCAACTGCATGTTGGGTCGATAGGCTTCCGGATAGCAGGTCTACAGAATCACCACATGACCCCTGTCTGTCATCATTGGGTCCCGAACAGACGACGTGGTAAAGCGATCCACTAAGAAATGATCACGACTTGGCATGAACGAGCCCAGTAACCTTGCGGTTCTCACTACCTGAGCCTGCGAGGTTTTGGCAAGCAAGTCTGTGCACCTTGGTCTGTCCAGGGCATACACGGGAGTTTAAGAAAATTGAAGACCCCCCTATGTTAACCTGAAGTAGTCCTCATTTTCGAACACTCCTACTGCAAGAACGCTCCAAAAACAAAAACATGGACTTGCTGGATCATTATTAGACTCGAAATAAGGACTGTCGCCTCTTTGAAGGAAAGAGGACGGTCCAGGCTGCCTGTGATGCCTGCAATGCCCTTGCTCGCCGAGCTGCCCGATGAATTGAAGCGCGAAGATAGCCACCAGAGTGGCAGGGAGTGGATATCTCGGTAGTTTAAGTTTACTTGAACCCTAACGCTCTCAGGACTTTTATTCTAAGGCTGTTGAACCATGCTAGGCGAGTTCGAAGGGTCTTGAAAGCATTAGGGTTGGATGTGAGCCGAAAGCTTACAGAGTTTAGGGCTTTACAGTCATGTGCTTCCCTGAAGGCAAACCTACAGACTACTTATACATACTTCCCTAAACTCATGTAATATAGTACATGGATTCCAGAATTTTAGCAGGGCTTCTGGTTGAAGCGAAGCCGGCATCTCAAGCCTATTAATAGTGAACAACACGCACACAGCTTATGGTCGACATCCCCCAGCACTGAAACCTGAGACCTTCTTCCGCGGAATTGAAATGCAAGTTTATAAGGCTGTAGTATCTTACGGTTTATAGGGTTTCATGTTTCGGGGGCTATATATTGAAGGGGCACTGCGCGCTCTTGGAGCTCCATGTAGCGGCCCGACAGACCATCCCTTCTAACTGATTCTAACTCGATTCTAACTCCCACTTGCAGCGCTTACATCCCAACATATCCCAAGCTCAGATGGTGCCGAAGCACGGCATCTGCAAGACGATCCGCAGCGCTGCGGGGATCATGCAGCCTCTTTGTAGGCAAGGCTTTGGGCTTTGGCTCAACTTATGCTTTGGGAGTTTAGGGTTTATAGTTTACAGAGTCTATAGGCCCTAGCGTTTGCAGCGTGATGTCGCCACACGTTGACCCACCCCGCGTCTAAGGCGGCCAGACCCCCCAAACGAAGTGTACGCTTAGACATCAAGGTTTCGGATGCCTGAACAGTATTGGGCCGCTACACACAGGCCCGACAGAAACGGGCGAGCGACTGCTGCAATTATGCTCAAACAAAGCAACAGCTTGGCGTAGGGAGGTCGGGTTGGGGCGTTAAGCCGTGCGCGTTTTCGAGCGCGCAGAAGCATAGAACACACCCTGATTGATTTCCATGTCCAATTAATTGCTGTTCCGCTTCACTTGAATACATCGCGCACCCTCCCTTCGCGGTCAATCGGAGAATGAATGCTCATGCAGACCCGTGATTTATGAACCCCCGCCCTGTAAGAGATTGGCTTCATTCACCAGGGGTGTGTCAACCAGACTCCCGAAATGCCAAACCTCTATCCAACAAAATGCGACACCGACAAACCCACACACAGGAAACACCATCTGAATCAGAACACTGACCTTATGAACATTCCGAAGCCCGAAATCAATATCTTGGGTAGATGCAACCTTGACCTGAAATCATCCTTTCGTAGCATCCCTAATATGGGCAGGTCATGGCCCCGCGGGGTTGCAAGGCGCACCCTAGCGGGAGGATCCGGAACTTAGAAAGCAAGGTTTCTTTATTAGGGCTATGAGCCGTTGTAACCACATATCGTTACCTTGGCATTATCTCCAGTTCTTATACGTCCCCTGATCCTTTTAGAGCACCCTAAGGGTCCATGTACCCAAATAGTGTATACCTTGGCCTCAAAGTAGTCCCTATATAGGTACTTTGGGGCCAAAGTATATACTATTTGGGCACATGGACAATTAGGGACAGTGTACTGAGTACGGGTCGAAGATCAGCTAAGAGTCCCAGGAAGAAAAGCCCGATCATGCTGCGAATGTGGGTGGAGAGTGCCTGCCACAAGCGTTTAGAGCTTCAGGGATTAGGGGTTTAGGGTTTCAAGTTCATTGGTTCATAGCTTTGCATTTATGATATACGGCGCTTACAGGGATCGGGGCTCAGGGCATAGGAGTTATGGTTGCAAACAGCTGGATGCATCGAGATTCCGGTTACTTGTTCAAAGCGGTGGTCACACACGTGGCACGCTTTGCTGCTGGGTATTGGACGACGCGCAATGCAGATTTACACAAACGGTGAGCGTTTAACGTAACATGGTCGACTATACTGTCGACTACTCCGCTCCGTTGTTGGTCCTACGTCCTACGTCAGACGCTGACTGGAGTTCTCCATGGCATGAAATTTCATATGACCGGAATGCGAAACTTTTCACTCTTGGCCGAAACCACCAGAGCAATTCGTGGGCTTCTTTTGAAGTCTTGAAGCGTCTTCAGAGCCGAGGATTACCTAACGGCTGAACTGCGTGATGCGGTGGCACCCCAACGCGGCCATGCTTCATAAGCCCTCGAGAACCCTTCTTAAATCCCTAATCCACGAAGACCCGTAGCGCGAAAATCGTCAACTCTTCAGCAACTTTCGAATCCGCCAGCAACTCTTCTCAACACATTCAGAACCAATAAGCCCTATGCCCTAACCAAATCCCCATTAAGTAGTGAAAAGACTCGAGCTGGCCTTTTGCTGTTCTGCCCTTACTTCATCGGCTTCTTTGCTCTCGCTGTTCAAGTCTGCCAGCCTCTTCTTCAACTCCTGACTGGTGCTGATGGTTTAAGGTTCATGCAGGGCTTCGAGATTTCGGGTTTTAGGGCTGGGCTGGTGGGGGGGGCTTGTGAGCTCGGCGGTTTTCGTTTTTCATGTTGTTTTACACTTGTGGCTTACTTTGATGTCTTCCGTCTTGCGTTAGGCAAGACGATCATAGTTCAACATCAGCTTGAAAGCAAAAACTGTTCCCCTCACTCTGCTGATAGACGTCGTCCACATCCTCACCACGGATTTCCCCATCCACACATTCAGCACCACAGACACTAATAGCACAACCACCGCCACCAACCTTACTACTGCCGACCGCACCACAACCACAAGCCTCATCATCTGTGCCCGAACTGGCACACATCCGTATCCAAAAGCACAAACCTCACAACTCAAACCCCGGCTCACCACGCAGTAACAGTAGTAGCACGAAGACCAAGACCGTTCCTACAAGGACCCCACTATTGACTACCTAGTTGGAATACCGCCTTGCCATAAGTTTCCTTCGAGGGCACTCCTTGCCAAGTTTAAGGCTTCTGGTGCTTGGGAGTTTGTTTTTTTGTATTCTGGGTTGAGCTGCGGATCCCTGCAGTGAGAGCCGAATGACCATACAGCCGTTGGAATCCGGCACACATAAAGCCCAAAACACAAGGCACCCTCAAGAATGGAGCTGGCAGACTGTCGAAAGCTCGGGGTTCAGGCTTCACCGGTGCTCTTCTGAGTTGAGGGTCGAGGGTTCTGGGGTCTAAGGTAGACCCCTGAGAAATAAATCCTCTTACCTCGAAAGGAATGGCAAAAGCCATCCTAATATTGAGGCCCGAAAGACAGGAACATTCTTGATCAGGATCTAAAACTATGACTCAGGATCAGGGACGAGTTGGTTTAGCGTATCAGGTCGTCCTTGTATTGCGTGATGGCACCATAACCCGCTTTCTGGGAATGGAGCTGCAGGACCCCGCCGATGGTGATCGGGATCGAAAATCCGTAGTCCTGCTTCGGGGCAAGGGTTTCATGGGGGGGGGGGCCTCGCAAAAACAACAACAACAACAACAACAACAACAACAACAACAACACAAAGCAGGACCCACGCCTTAGGGCTTCGGGTCAAAACCCATATTTGCCATACTTTGAGCTTAGGAACCCAAGGCCCCGAACCCCGGAATCCTGCACGGGGCACCAGGCTAAGTATGCGCCAGCGACGAAGGACGCAAGCCCACACACCATCCCGGCACGTCCCAACCATACCTGTGGAGCCAGGGTGTAACCCTAAACCCTAAACCCTAAACCGTGGCTCAAGTTGTACGGTTGAACGTTTTGCTGTACAGGGGTACATTTGGTTGATTGGTGGAGGCCGTTGACGGCTGAGGCAGGATGCCGAGGATTGAGGGCCAAATCCCACTGACCCTCACAATCAAATTTCGACCAGTCCACCCCGACATAACAAGGACATGCCCCCACGTCCCGAGCCGTGACATCACGACATCATAAAGCCTGGAGCCCTACATAGCTTGTTTCAGTGCAGTTGTTGGTTTCCGTGGTGGCGACTTTCCGCAGCCTAAGTTGCGACACCCTGAAATGCACGCAGTGCTGCGTAGCAAACGCTAACATGACTTATCATAGTACATAGCACCCGGTCGCTGCATTTGACATGGCATCGGCCGGGTGGCATGAAAGGATTTCGCCTTGCCGTCGAAAACAGACGGCGTGAAGAGCCTCGCAGAACCGAGGAAGTTTATTATGGGGGCCTTTATTGGGAACCAATTTTCAGACCCCTTTGTGCGGGGGGGACTCTCTGCTCACTTCTGGGTTGGGGGTTCGGAAGTAGCCTCAAATCCTATCTAGACCCCAAATAACCTAACTGTTTTGCAGTAAGGAAATCACAATACGCAACGCCATAAAGGTAGGTCTTTGCAGGGCTGAGCCCTGGTCGAGGGAGCTTCCGTAATTTTAGGGTCGGTGGTAATATGGGAACCCGATTAAGAAACCTTGGGTCTCTACTGAGGTTCCTTGTAGGAATCCTAATTCTTTGGGGGTTATAGGGCCAGGGTTTCTTAATCAAGCTCCTACATTAGGTGGAAAAGTCCCCAGCACCTAGGACAAGTCCTCAATTCTGCACAGCATGTATATCGTAGCTCCATGCGAGAGCCTTGTAACCCACATCTGCGGAAATGAGTCACCCTGTGTAAACCGCAGTAGACCCAAAAAAGTGCAAGCGTAAATCAGGTCCAAGAAGCGTGTTGTGCACGCACGCGAAGCAAATTCCGAAAGCGCAAGTCAGGTGGAACCTGAGCTTGTTGTAGTGTGTGCCTCTGACTCTAAGTATCTCTCTCGCTGCGGGTGTGGCTGGGGCTGTTGCTGATGCTAGCGGCCTGCGGTGTCATTAGGACCTGCACTCTGCAGGCCTGTGAGAAGGACGGACAGCCCAAACCTGATGTGCGGTGCATGCCGGAAGCCAAGCCACACAGAACCCTCAAGTGAACCTGACACCTAGCATGTTGGCAGCACTGAGCGAAACTGAACGAGGCCACTGCTCTGGGGTTGGAAAAGGCTTTCGGGGACTGGGATTTCAGAATTATACAAGGATTAGATGTCGGAGCTCGTGCTGTTAAAAACTCAGTGCCGTCCGGGTAATATAGGGGGCCTTAATTAGAATAGGGTTTAGGGGCCCATTATACTATATCTAGAATAAGGAACCCCCAACATAATACTAGTAAGTTTTTAGGCCCCTGTATTAAAGTGTTAGCGGTTGGGGCTCGGAATATTTCAGGTGGTCAGGGTCACAGTGACGTCTCGGGGTTTGAAATGGAGAAGACGGGGCTCGTGTTCCGGAAAGCTGAAGCCTCATGGTTCATGGCAGCGTATATAAGGGTGTAGTTCGTAAAGCCTATACAGCTAAATGTCTTAAGCTCAAAGACCAGAACTAAACTCTGAGACACTTAACGCCTTCGGCCTACAAAGCCTTACACAACCATCTTGAATCCTGTAATGCCCTTTGTATGACCTAACGAGCTTATGGTGCTATCAACCCCATAGCACCCTTGTAACACACTGCAATACCCTGACAAGCCCCAACGTGCCCTCTCACGCAGGCAGGAAAGCAAGAAGATCGGACGTCGAAACTCTCGGAGGTTCTCCACAAGAGGTGGGGTGTGGATGAAGAAGAACCTGAGGGTCTGAGGGGTTCCTTTACAAGGGAAACCTCGAGGGTCTTAGGGGTTCCTTCAACACGGGAAACATACTGTTGATGATATGAATCCTGCAGTACCTTGAGTACCCTAAACTATGCGAATTACGGTGTATTCCTTACTGTGGGTATTTCAGGATTTATACCATCAACCGTAGTGGACGGTAGAACTCACGGTTTTGCTTTGTTGTTACCGAAGGGTTGACAGGGCTCTAAGAACGTAACTTGGGGACCCAGATTTTTCGGATGGGCGCTACACATTTTATACCTTTAAGAAAAAGTATTTCTGTACCTACAGAGAACTGAGCACATATAGTGAGCCTTACAATCTTACAGCATACAGGCTCATACAGGGCTTGTGTTCTTCTGCTCCTACTGATATTGGAAGAAGATTGCTTCATCAAGGCATATAGGCTTCCGGGCTTGAGGTTTGAGGCTTCCGGGACCCGAGACTCAACAACTCTGTGACAAGCCTTAGGAATTGCTTTCGAACTTTGCAAACATCGCCTCAGTCCTGCACAACTAGCGTGATTTCTCGATTTTGCACGAATTTTCGTCCCTAAACCCTAAACCCTAAACCGAATCCAACAAGGGCCCGGAGAAGCTGTCACGTGAGAGGTCTGAAAAAGGAGAAAGGCTGATAGCGCTTCGGAAAGACTCGGCGTGTAGCTCTGACCAAAAACTGGGCTCAGGGTTTAGGATTCGGGCCAAGCGTCGGAAACCCCACCGCAGCAGTAGAGTTCACAACAGGCTAGAGCCCTTAACCCTCAACCCCGACAGTCGAAACACCTACACATCCGGAACCCCACAATCGAGCAATACTACACACTGGACGAGTCAAGGAAACTGAAGTCGGCAAAAAAAACAATCTAAGCACATTCGCTCGCAAGAGCCTCAACAACCATTGAGTTCAGGAATCCGCACAGACTCCACACTCCCAAGAATTACCGAAGATACCCTAATTCGTAACATCGAGAATCCCACTATGATCTAGGGTAAACACCCTGGTTCCGGAAGCTCAAAGGCTCCGAATCGTCCCTGAAGCACAGCGGGGCCCTTTCAGCGGGTTTGGGTTTTGGGTCTCCTGCTTTCCTTCGTTTGATTGAGTTGTTTGCGAGAGCCTCCAGAGCCCTACACTACACTTCCTATAGCCCATCCAAACCGTGTGGGTAGTTCGAAACTGGGGTCCCCGTTTAGGATCCGTTTAACAAAGGTGCCGTACTATTTTGGGGACCTAAAAAGGGACCGTGATGTAGGCAACTACCCACATATATAGCCTTTAGTTAAGAGTCCTGGATTTTGGGGGGCCTCGACAAAGCGGCCATTGGTTCCACTAGCCCAGGTTCTCAGTGTCATGTCGAACACTCCTCAACTAGGCTGACGAGACACCAAGACAGAATCCCAGTTCCCAGCAGCCAGTAGATGTTGAAGTTCTTCAGGCAGGTTGCCATGCTGCCAGGCCACCCCTAAACCCTAAACCCTAAACCCTAAAACCCTATAAACCTGAAGACCCCGAAAAGCCCTGAACCTTCGGATTCCGTGAACCGGATACAAGCTTGCTTTGAGCTCGCGCCGGTGGGATGCTGCAAGCCGCCAGCAAGAAAGCACTTCCGAGTCGGTGCAGAGCTGCGAAATAATCAGAATCCCACCCCCTTGAGAATCCCACATCCCCCAAAAACCCTAAACTCCCCAGAGCCCCCAAAGCCCTTGAAGGGCCCTAAACCCTCAACCCTGAACTGTAAGAATCCTCTAAAATCCTATATAATCCCAAAACCCCCAGTGACCCCAAGCCCCTTGAAGGCCCCAAGGCCCCTTGAACCTAAACCCCGGAACTCTTTGAACCCCTTCGGGGAAATTGTACGTTGGGGATCGTGTTGGGTTGCATGTTTAGGCTCGAGTTTAGGCATGCACTGATCCCCAGAGCACCCAGCCATCCATCCGCAAGTAAGGAATCTGCGTATGCCCTTCACTTGAAAGGGCTTCTGGCTACAGATGCCTTGGTTAGAAGTAGTCAGGTCTCGGGGTGGTGCAGGTTTCCATGCTTTAGCGCTGTTGATCTCCAGCTTCGACATCCAAGCCAAGCCTCAAAAACAGCCTAAAACCCTGAGGTTTGGGGCTTAGGGTCCCTAAACCCCAGGCCCTAAACCGAAACCCCAAGCTGGAAGGGCTTGTGCTGAAAAGCTTGGATCCTGGAAAAAAACCTAGATGCTCGTCTTGGCTACTTTCAGCCAGACGCAGAACCCTCCTCTTAGGGGCTGTTAGGGGTTGAGGGTTTAGGGTTATAGGGTTTAGGGTTCAGGGTTTAGGGCGTTAAGCGCTAACCCTACACAACAGCGTAGATAAGATGACCCAAGGCCCCTCGGACAAGTCTTGGACGGTTTAGGGTTTTGGGTTTAGGGGTTTAGGGTTTAGGGGTTTAGGGTTTAGGGTTTCGGGTTCCCCAGTCGCAGTGTCAAACACCCAACACCTGAACCCTAATTTGCACCCTGAGGGTCTCGGCGTGGTAGTCTAAGGAAGACAAAACTACCATCTTAACCCCTATAGTGGTTGAAGACCTCAACCCATCAAAAAAAGAGAAAATCACCATCTCTGAACACCAAACCTCTAAATCCCAAACCCTACTTGGAGGTCCATGGGTAGGTATAGGCGGAGTTATAAGTTCCCTAATATAGGTGTTAACTATAGTTGCCCCAGTTATAACCCTACTTATAACTACCCATGGACCTCCAAGTAAACTTCTCAATCCAAAACCCTAAACTCGGGACTCAATCTGCGGCCTTCCCAAGCCTTCTTCCACGGGCCATGGCCTGAGGATTCCCCCAAACTTCTTCCGGGGTTAAAGTTTAAGGCTTAGGATTTTGGATTAGGGCTTAAGAGGCTAAGGATTTAAGGGTCTAAAGTTTAAGACTTAGGATTGGATTTAAGGCTTAAGGGTTTAAGGATTTAAGGGTTTAGGGTTTTGGGGCTCTACGTAGAGGCGGGGCGTTACAAGGAGAAAGTCTGGGGTTTATACGGTTATATAGCCGAGAGGTTCAGGGGACTTATGTACTAGGTAAGGTCACAACGGCCTGAAATGGCGTTTTTAGCAAGCACAACCCTACTTTCAGTCACCTGGCCTTTCTTGAGGGGTTTTACCATGGGCTTTGTAGGGTTTTGGGATGGGAGCTTGATTTTGAAGTCGCAGTCTGCAAATCGTGACAAGAACTGACACCAAAAGCACAATGACTTGAGACAATCCTGCACTTCTCCTGTTGTCCTAGTCCTACGTCCTAGTGAGTCAAGCGAAAACTTAACGGGGTGTAGGGTGCAGGATTTCTTGTCGTTCTCCTTCGGGCTCAAGGAACTCCACAGCTTCTGCCCCGCGCGCCCTGATCTGGGGACAGGGCCATGCCAGAAGATGGGAAAGTACCTCAGAATTCAGGCTCATGCGTCTAGGTGCCGGGGCAGAGTGTGTTGCGTGACTTCTGGAAAGGCCTGAACCCAGACTCCTCAACAAAAAACAACCCTCTGGAATTAGAAATACAAACATTGTCTACTACTGAACCATTGGAAACTCTGGCCTTGCGGCAGGCGAATTTTAGAATGAGCATCCAAGTCTCGAGAGCGTAAATGCATAGGAAGGAGGGACAGGATGGCAGAAAGTGTATCGCATATGTCGATGTTAAGTTTCGTATGACCCGTATACTTCTACAAAATAAGTATATACACAGCGTGTTCCCATCATCATCGTCATCATCATCATCAACAACAGCAGCAGCAGCATTATCATCATCATCATCATCATCATCATCATCATCATCACCATTGTTAGTCGTCGTCGTCGCAGTAGTAGTAGTAGTAGTAGTAGTAGTAGTAGCAGTAGTAGTAGCAGTAGTAGTAGTAGTAGTAGTAGTAGTAGTAGTAGTAGTACATACTAGCAGTAGTAGTAGTAGTAGTAGTAGTAGTAGTAGTAGTAGCCAGCGGCGTGTTTGCCGTTCCCGTGAAATCGGCTGCTCGGGACTCGCGGGGGGGGGTGGGGAGGGGGGGGATAATAACGAGAAGCTGAACCATATCCCCAAAAAAGCCTTTCCTCCTCGCAATCAGCCCGAAGCCCTGAACCCAGTGCAATCGTGCGATCGCCCGAAGCAGTTCCATCCCAAGGCTTCAGCCTTATATCCCACAGTCTTACCGAACCGTGTACATGGATCTGCGTTTTTACGATGATCTGGGCGGCTTCCGGACATTCGCTGGTACCGTAAACCCTAAACCCACACTTCCTAATTACTATACTGTAGGCAAATAGAGTCTCACGGAGGGCTGAGGATGTTGCAAAGGCTTGTGCACCTACTTAAAGAGTGTACGGGATTCATGGTTTGGGACTGGACTTTGGCATTTTTTTTAAGGTTGTCCCTCAAACCCTTCTTAACTTAACCCTAAACCATCATTACAAGTACACCCTTGAAGCCTGAGCCCCTGAAACTCTTAACCCTCGCTTCTTACAAGTAAACCCCGCAGCCCTTAAACCAACACACCGTAGGACACAACACACGCGCGTAAACCTTTTCGAGCAACGCCTCCCACACAAAACACAAAACAGCCTTGTCATTTGCGTACTTCCAAAATACACTGAAATAAGCACGCCACCACAGCGGCAGCTGCGTTTTTCAAAATTTAGGGGTACGGTAAACACGGTGGCGGGTAGTAGTAGTAGTAGTAGTAGTAGTAGTAGTAGTAGTAGTAGTATATGGTTGACAAATTATTGTCGTTATTGCTACTATGTTTATTATCATCCCTCCTATTTTTATGTTAGGCATCATTATCTTTGCTATATATCATCTTCTTACCTCCCATAAGCCCTCTAGCAAAGCGTAGTATTGGAAATACCGAAAACGGAAACCTCAACCAACGAATGATCAACAACACCTCAGAGACCCTCACCCCAGGAAGTCCACGCCGAAGCCATAACCATGAGGCCGAAGTGCCAAAGCCTGCATGTTCTGCATCCGATATCATCCCGAAAACACCTAAAAACCCTAAACCCGAAGCCCCCAAACCAACCTACCAACCGAAGCCTGCGAACACCAATATCCGAGGGTCTTCAGGAACCCGTGGTTTCTTAAGCAGCCGAAATCCTGAACCCCCCTTATACACCCCTAACCCCTAACCCCAAGCCCAAATCTCCCCAAAACTCCACAACCCGGTCGATCCCAGGTAGAACTCCAGAGAGAACCCTTCTCCTTTTGGAATTGTCAGAAACCCACGGAAGCCCTTCAAACGCCCCTCTGTAAAACGAAAGCACCAGAAATCGCTGTAAATCCATAGTGACACCACATCATGAACCCGCGAAAAACCTCATAAAGCCGCACAAAAACACGCCAGCCCGAAGCCATCCGGAGCCTTTCTGGCCCCGAAACCCTAAAACTCTAAGCTCTTCACCTTCGTCCGAGAAAGCGTGCTCGACCTCAGCTCTGCTTGAGAACGATTTACCGTTTAGGGCTTTAGGTCTATAGGGGGTTTCGGGTTTACGGTCTACATGGGGGTATAGGGTTTAGGGTCTACATGGGGATTTAGGGTTTAGGGTCTACAGGGGGGTTTAGGGTTTAGGGTCTATAGGGGGGTTTAGTGTTAAGGGTCTACAGTCTATAGGGGGAGGGGCTCAGGAGCGGGCCTGTACCTGCTCTATGCGGGTTCTTCCGGCCGGGTTGCCTTGGTGGTTCCTGTATGGTCTCTCCGCTGTCTGTCTACCTGTCTCTGTCTCTTACTATCTATCTACATATATATATATATATATATCTGTAAGTATGTGCGTATATGTACATGCATGCATATATTTTTACACACATGCGTGTGTGTGTGTGTGTGTATGTATGTATGTATGTATGTATGTATGTATGTATGTATGTATGTATGTATGTATGTATGTATGTATACTTCTGTACACACTTATACATGTATGAGCTTTATGGTGTTTTGGCGGCCATGCAAGGCCGGCATTACATGAGTTTTGGAGGCTGGGGCTTAGGGCAACCCTGATAAAGTAGAAGCCAAAAAGCTGGAACATCGTCATCCTCATGCCCCCAGGGTTAAGTAGACGAGATCCCATCACCAATCAACCAAAACCCATGTTCCAACCGTCTGGGATTCCCTATATTTTATTCCCTGAGTACCCAAGCCCCGAAAGAAGTTAACCTGTCATTTCTGGTAGGATTATGTGAACCCAGGTTAAAGCTTACCTACTCAGCTACTAAGGTATTTGCAAACAGATAGAGACTATAACGACGGCAGCGAGAGCCAAGCGTCCACGGACAGATCTACGTGCAGATTTATGTGTCACTGTGTGCATGCATACACACACACACACATTCAAGATTCGAGGCACTGCATGAATACTAAGCGGCTCTGTGTGTGTATCCATACATACAAGGACACACACACATACACATTCAGGTTTGTGTATGCGTATGTGTGTATATATGTATATATATATATATGTATATACATATATACATAGCATATATGGATGCATTGCCAAAACACGCGCACCTAAGATACGACCCTGATGGAATCAACCTTGCAGGTGAGTGGCATCCCCAGGTTTCAAAGACGGACATGGGCGCATCGAAGACCAGGGGGACCTCCCAGGGTTTGGGGTTTAGGATTTCAGCAGTCAGACTTTGGGCTTACAGCGCTAATGTAGGGGCCTTTGTGATTAGAATAGGTTTATTTGGGGTCCATTATACTATACTTATAATAAGGAACCCCCCCAAAATAGTATTGGTAACTATTTAGGCGCGTATATTATGCGCAGGCTTTGGGCCGCTATTGCGACATCTGAACTTCACCTTTGGGTGCTGCGCAGTCGAAGGTTTTGATGAGCAAAGGAATTCAGGGTGCTCAGGGCTTAGTGTAAGAAGGACGGTTTTACCGGGGACCATGTACACAGGGGTGTGTTCATTGTTGGGCTACGTGTATTCCACAGGCTTCGAGGCGAGAAAGTCTAAACATCCACTGGGTTCACGTCCGGGCTGGCAGTCTTGGAGTACGAGCGTGGTAACCGGAAACCTCACACTATTTTCACCAAGTAACAGCAAATCCAGAATCATCATGGTCACCAGAGTCATAACGGCCATCGTAAACACCATGTCGTCACCACGGGCATCAAGAGTCAAGAGCAAGTATCTTATCATGACATCACTGTTATCATTGAGTCTGCCTGCTGGGCCTAGCATGTATCACATTACGTGCAGGGTTTAGGCTTTCGTAGATTTCATAAGACCCGTTTCGCAGGTTGCTGTGTGGTTTGCGGGAACCCTGAGCGGTAACACCCCGCAACTAACTGTCATGATTCCGAGGACGCCGCATCCACGTCGATGGAGTGACTCTTCCTGGGTTGCTCGGGTGATGTAGGGGCCTTAATAATTAGACTAGGATTTTGGGCCACTTTATAGTATATTTATATTAAGGAACCCCCTAAACAACAAAAAAGGCAATTATTAAGGCCTCAATCTTCATCGGGCATTGACGAAATTGAGGAGGGCACGCTTATACAAGGGACTCTTAGAGGGGCCCTCATCTAGAGAACTACCCATGTACGAATACGGCATATGCCTTGACCCTGAAGTACCTACCGAGGAACATTTTCAAGGCCCACGTACACATAATCTAGGTGCGTGGCCACTAGAAAGCCCTTTAGAAAAACTCGAAGGAGCCCTTGCAAGGTACATGGACTCTTGCCCCGGAAAACCTGAAGCTTGTTAACCCAAAGACACGAGGGTTTCAACATTGGGTAAGGTTTGAGGGTTATAACATACAACCGGTATGCAGGGATGCAAATAGACACACTGCTAACTATTAAGAACTACAGCGACTAGTACTACTGAAACCTTTACATAGCTGAGTTCATGGACAGTAACTGCTATCTAATTCTTCTCTTCTTCAGCACAAGGCTTGGGGGGCATAATGCTCCATAATGGAATAGCGACTCTCAAGGTGACAGCTCTTCCGCATAAACACTACGTAAATTGTCACTAGAAAAACCCTAAACCCCAAACCCCGAACCCTAAACCCCAAACCCTAAACCCTACATTAAAAATAGCCAGCGGCGTTCCGTTCCGGAAGGCGATGCCAGGCTCCACTGTCTCCAGCAGAACCGGCCTTGACCGGTTGAGGACATTAAGGTCTTAAGGCTCGGCAAATCTCGGGTTTAGACACGCCTTAGGATGTTCATGGTTTAGGACTGACATCCTTAAAAGGTTACGGGGGGGCTGAGGTTTAGGATTCAGGGGTGCAGAAATTAGAGATAAGCTTCAGGAGCTGAGGATGTAGAATCTGTTTGCTCGAGAAGTAACAACTACGCGTATAAATGTAAACATACATACAACGAGTTCTATGCTGTACGTACACACATGAACATATGAAATGGTTCCTTAAACTTGCAACCCGTACATCAACACACAATATTCACTTCTCTCGATGCGTGTGACAGGAAAACACCTCACAGGGACACTGTGGCCCTGGCCAGTTCGCCTTCTGGAAGACCTGAGTTGACATCTGGGGACCGGTAATAAGTTTGCTTTCTTATTTGTGCCTCTGTTGGGGGGGAGGGTTAAGGTTTCAGTTTAGGATTGAAGCCTCTTCGACATTATCTTCGGGGTGTGTACGACTGTCGCATCAGTTAGCTTCCGCTTTTTCGCGGAATGCGCACAGTACCGAACACTGCCGCTGAAGACCCGACGTCGCCCTTCAGCCCTGAAGCACTAAACCCTAAACCCAAACCCCTAAACCGTAAACCCTAAACCCTAAACCCAAACCCCTAAACCCTAAACCCTAATCCCAAAACCCTAACCCCCTAAATCATAAACCCCAAACCTTAGACCCTTAAGCCCTAAAGCGAGATGGAGCCTGCTCACTTGGAGCCTGGTCTTGGAGTTGTACACTGGCTAATGTAGGGGCCTTAATAATTAGAATGGGTTTTGGGGCCCATTATACCATAACTGCTATAATAAGGAACCCCCAAAATAGCATTGGTAATTTTATTCAGGCCCCTATATTATAGTACGTTATAGTATACTATAGTACATTATATATAGTATATATTATAGTATACTATAGTATATTATAGTATATTATAGTATATTATAGTATATTATAGTATATTATAGTATATTATAGTATATAGGGACTGGAAGCTGACATGGAGCAACTCCTCTTGGAACCCGCTATGCACTGCGTTCAGGGGCTCGAGGCAAGGCGTAGGGTTTGGGGCTTAGGGCTTAGAAGGAGACATCAGACATCAGGTGAGTTCCGTAGATCCGGGTTCAGGGTTTTTTTGCGAGGTGACCTGTATGCTTGGATAGGGACCATGACAGGAAACAGCTACTCGTCAGTTAGGCCTTTATAAAGCTTCTACTGGCAAGATGTCCCTTTTACTAAGCTCTGCGCGGTCGAGCCAAAGATCTTCTGCTCTGTATCCAAAGCCTCGGATGTTTTGGATGACCGAGTTTGTGGTTCGGTCACCATTATTGTAACGTCATGAAGAAGAGGAACTACATCTGAGGAGGGGGATCTGTGTAGTGTATGTGGCACCCTGAGTGGAGGAGACCACAACTCACAAATTAAAGCTATAACTCCGAGGACAATCTGCGAGGGACACCTCTGAGCAAGCCTGTTCCCTGAACCTGATACATCCTGAAAGTTGAAAACCCAAACTTCAAACCCTCCACGGCCCTACACCTTCTTTGGACCCAACTCTACTTTTCCGGGAATTCTTAACCTGGATTTTCAATTAAATGCTGCTCCGGGCAGGGTGTTCGTTCGCGTCTAGGTCCGAGACCAGCCCGAAACGCCCTTCCTTTGCTCTGAGGAAGTGTGTGTGTATATATATATATATATATGTATATATATATATATATATGCATAATGTGTATATATATATATACATGCATATATATATCTATATAAGAGCATGGAAGAGACAGCTTTAAGAGTCTTGGCCCGAAGCTACAAGCTTCTCCTCGCTGCCCTCCTCCACAGCACGGACATGGCCTCAGGGTCGGCGGGGCGAGTTTCGGCAGCTGGGAGGCAGGCATCAAGCGGTCATCGAGGTGAACTCTGTTGGTGGTTGACGGCGGTACTGTGTTTCATACTGTTCGTGGCGATGAACGAGTAGGCCGAGGACGTTGTTGTTCCTCGGTTCTTGGAGATGGCAATGATAATTGTTATGATGAAGAAGAAGGTGCTCATGGTGGTGATGATGTTCGTGATAATGACGGTGGTGATGATGACGAGGAGGGGGAGGATGGTTGTGATGGTGGTCTCAAGCTCTCGGCTGCAGAACAGGAAGCAGGGGGTGATCTTCTCATTAAACTTTAAACCGTGCTTCGAGGCTGTTGGGATTTCCTGGGTTGCTTTTTGGCTTGAGAGCTTGGCGGTCTTCATGCGTCTGGGAATTCCCTGTCAGGAGGTGGGTGGCTTGGGGCTTAAGGGCTTAATATCGAGGTCTGAATGTGGCGCTACGGCACTATCACTATCCCCAGAGTCTCAGTGCAGTCACCCCATACCATTGTCCCGCTCATGTGTCCTACTGAAATTAGTCTACACCCAAAAAACCTGTTCGAATCATGAAGGCCCCACTATAGGCACAAAACCACCGTACGAAACCCATCATTGGGACTCCGAGCGTGGCATTGACTTTCTGCTTCAGAATACGGTCTGCCCAGAATGTAAAAAAATGAGATAAGGGCTTTGTGTAGGGGCACTAATCATTGACGGATGTCATAGTATGTCGCACATATCGAATTATTCAGACCGTGTTTCTGCCATGTACGCAGAATCGGGCCATGAAGACCTTGTCCTGATATGCAGCGGCAGTCAAGTTCGAGCTGGGCCCAAGGCGAATGAAATATCGCCACAGCTCATACCTTGGCGTTTTGGTTCCGGGTTTCGGGATTGGGGTGTTGAGTTTAGAGTTGCTGGGACAGCTGAGCGAGTCTGTTTGCGTGTCTGATGCCCTCCTCCCCGCAGGGCCGCTCTGTCTCAAGTTTCATTTGCTGCTTACGGAGGCCGAGCTTGGGTCCTTAACTAGCGAATTTACATGAAGCTTTGCTAAACCCTAAACCCACCTCAGCCAGGTACCGACTCACCTGCCCTGCGCACCAACCCGGAGCTCGGGGTCAGGGTTCTTCACTTTAGGGCCTTCACGGCTTTAAGGCTCAGGGCTTCAGGGTTTCGGGGTTCTGGAGGCTACGGTTTTAGGGTTTGGGGTTCGAGGTTCAGGGGGTGTTAGGGGTTTAGGGCTTAGGATGTCAGGCTTCGAGATATCTTCAGGATGCAGTTCGCCGGACATGGCGAAGGAGAAGATAACATAGCATAAGCATATGGGTAGTGCTCAAAATTAGGTCTCTTTTAGGGTCTTTTTTATAAGGGTGCCGCACGATATTGGGGACCTAAAAGGGGCCCTAATTTAGAGAACTTCCCATATAGCCCTGTGAAATGATGTGCAGAAACGCAATATTTGTACAGCTTGCACTGATAGGCAATCAAACAGATTAATACCCACCCGCGCACTTAAAACTCTGAAGCCCGTGCTCCTAACAGTGAGCAAGCCACGAACCCTCGAACATTTCGAGCAAAGCCCCTACCAAGCCAAGAACTTCCTAAACCAAATCCTAAACCTGGAAGTCGGTGTGGAAGACGAGGACGCAGCTGGTCGTAGGAGTGCAGGAACCAGTGCCCAACAACGTCGGCATGCCTGTGGCCGCGGTGCATCGTTTTGGGTGGTTTAGGGTTTAGTGTTTATAGCGTTTAGTGTTTAAGTTCAGGGTGTAGGGTGTATGAGGTGTAGGGTTTAGTGTCTGATACCGGTCTTTTGCATGAGCAGCCATTGTCGAAGATTCCGGCAACAGTTTACTACAGCACATCCACCAGAACTGTGTGGCCTTCAGGACGCATCACTGCTCGGGCAGAAATACTTACAGTTTGACTTCCCCTAAACCCTAAACCCCGAAACCCTAAACCCTACTTGCACCAGAGCTTTAGAAAATGACGAACCCCATCATAGATCCGATTCAGAATCGCAAGGTCCATAATCAACATAAGGAGCCTGAGAGGGAATATGAACACAAATTGGTTTGAGCAGGCCTTAACGGGATATGAACCAAAAGACGCCCGACCAGCATCAAACCCAGGTCGACTTCTTGGGGACTCCAAAACCCTGCAAGTATTGAATAGGCCTCTACGAGCATGACCAAAGAGGTACTGCCCACACTGCTAAACCTGCGGTCCGAAACCCCAAATCCTTCCTAGCGACATGAGGCATAGTTTTCCTAGGTGCAGTCGGACACTCTCAATCCGCTACGGAATCGAAACCTGTCTGTGTCGTCCGGATGTGGTTCAACCCTGGATATTGGCGCCGCTCTCTCGGCCCTGATCCTAAACTCCTGAGCCGGAAGCCACATGCCTGAAGCCCTTATCGCTTACTCGAAGAAGCTCCACACAACCCAAAACCCAAACAAACATGCACCGGGAACCGGACGCCATCAGGAGCTGAGGGTTGTTGGCAGCCATGTTCAATCCTTTTCAGGCAGTCGGGTTGGTTTCTCAGACTTCACAAGCCTCTAAGCCTTCGGGCCTTGATCTCAGGCTCCTCCTTATCGAAATCAACGAACGGCTTTTCTGTGAGGGCTTCTTGAAGATTGCAATGTCCCATAACTTGTTAAGAAACTCGCGTAGAATTGAAGAAGGGTCTTTGACGGTCTTGGCTACTTGGAGGTTCATGGGTACTTATAGGGTCATATGTAGGATAACTATAGTTATAACCTATACCAAAGGGACCTATAACTCCACTTGGGGAAGCCTGGAGTCTCTCTGCACTGTCAGTGAAGTATCTGAAGAAGAAAGGTCTCATGGATTCAGGGCTTCTTCGATTCCTCATCTAAGAATGCCGTAAAGGTCAGCATGTCAGACAGATAGATAGATAGATAGATAGATAGATAGACAGATGGACAGACGGAGAGATACATTTACATGGATAGATCCATAGACCGATTGATGGACAGACAGATAGATGGATAGACAGATAGATAGATGGATAGGTAGAAAGATAAGTAGATAGACAGGTAGGTAGACAGATGGATAGATAGCTAGGTAGATAGATAGAAAGATAGATAGGTAGGTAGGTAGACAGAAGAGACATGGAGAGATATAAAAATAGATACATCGATGGATAGCTAGATAGATCAGTCCATCGATCGTGAGAGAGACAGGCAGACAGACAGATGGATAGATGGATAGATGCAGGAATCCGGTATGGCATCCAGGCCTCAGAGGCCCTAAGAGTGAAATCCTAGTC